GTTGCAGCAGGACGTAAAGCTTTTCATAGTTTCATTCCAGGCTGGGCCGTAGGATCTTGTGAATTGCTCTGGCTTTATACCCGCTTGCAGACTAAATGACAGTCTGACACATCATCTAGAAGAATCTGCAAGCAGCCATCTTAGATATCTTGAGTTTCTCCCCACTGTTGCTTAAGACAAAATGAATTTAATATAATTTTTAGTGAAGGAAAATTATAAGGACAGAATGCAGGAAGCCCAGTAAATGTGAACACCCAGTGATTGGGCTTTGGTTCTCTCCTCTCCTCCTCACTCATCTTAGGAGCTGCTTTGTATTAAAAGTAACACATCTGCAGGACGGTGCTCCAACATCTGAAACAAAATGAATTGCTTGTTTGCTTTTCTGCATTCTTCCAACCTCTGCATGTGCAGATCTCCTGTACGTTAACAACTTCCATCAATTGCTCATGTGCAGGAAAAAAATAGATATTAATGAAATATCTAGTGAAACTTAGATATTAAGTGACTGTTCAACATGAAAAGGAATACTCTTGAAGTTTATGGGCCTGTCTTCTGAAATGTTGATGTTGTTTACACCACTAAAACTATGCAAATAACTTGCCTAATTTCCCTCTCCTGGAGTGTTTGCTAGCAAATAATCACTTTATTTAAAAGTATTCCATATGAAAAATGCTCTGCTTTTGTTGGGGCTTTGAATTTTGACTTTGTAGACTGATCCAAGAAATGAGTTGTAGGTGTATCTTGCTGACTGCCTGCTTTTTCAATCACTCGAGCTGTGGTTATTCTGCTAAGCTGGTATTTCTTTGTTTTGTTTTAGACGGCTGCCCAAGTGCTTGTAGTTGCAATAACTGTTTGTTAAAATATGAGTGTATGAATGTGACCTGAAGTATCACTTCGTCAGTATTCGTGCTAGAAAATTACAACAGCACGAAAGTTCATCATAAGCAAATAGAAAATACTGCAGATTTAAGGATACTTAGAAATCTTCTTTGATCCTTAATTATCACACAGTTAATTCTTTCTTCCAGTCCAGAAACTAACTTGTAGCTGGGGAGGCACGTGTTTAAATCACGTCCTGGAGAACGCTTAAGCTTACTTTTAAGCAAGTACGTAGGTTACATTGGTTCAGTGACTCAGAACTGCTTGAATCTCGTGCACCGTCAGACTGGCTGCATAAACAAGAGTTGCAATGTAAATGCTACAGTAAATAAGATAAATGTGGGTCTGGTTGTCTGTGAATTTATCACTGATTTTGACTTTCTGGTATGAAAATGTAATTTATTTATTTTTAAAGGGAAACATTCAACTAATTTTATAATATACTGAAATGTATTAAGTTACACAAAAGAATCCATATTATAGTAATCCTGCATGTATATGGGAGAGGAGCACTGAGCATGCATGGCAGATGGTTTCAAAGGAAATCCTCGAGAGCTGGGATTAAAAAGCAATTTTCAGCAAGTTTAAAGTGGGTCTCCATATTTGGGTCACAGATATTAACTCCTTCATCACAAACAAATGAGAGAGGAGTCGTGTAGGGCTGTTGTGGGGATGTTCTCTCAAGCAGAGCTGACCAACATGCAGCGCCAAAGGAAGAAACAGGGATGGTGATTCTGGCCGTAGTCCTGCTGTTCTGGCTGCTGCAGGAGGTGGAGCTGCAGTGCGCAGAGACGAGGGCTGCTGCCAGTTAGCTGGTGTCAGGGTTTGGCTGAGGATCACTGGTAACCTCATTGGTAACCTGGAAACAATGTATTTCGTGGCTGCTTCAGTGTTTGGCTACCCACCCTCACGGATTTAAACAGAGTCAAATGTTGCAGAATAAAATGCTCATGAGTGGTATTTTTGTTGTTGAGTAGTTGGAATTTTCAAGGACACCTGAGGTATAAAGTTTAAGGTACCTAATGCTACTTTGCTTCACGTTTCTGAGCTCTGTTCCTGCCACTGCCAACTCACACTGATTTTATTGGTCTTTAGATCAGAGTTCGGCATTTTTTTATGCCTCAGACGTGTGGATAATCCTCTTCCTTTCTCCTACCTGTCACTTTTCTTCAAAACTTTCTGGTGTATTGCTTCTGGCGTGTTAAAAAGTACCAGTTTCCATGCAACAAGTTTATGCTTATTATGTTATGATCTTATGAAATTGCAGTACGACATTCTGGTTAGCGTTTGACCTTATGGTAAATAAGAAATCGATCAGCTATGCAAGAATGTCTTATTCAGTCCTAAATACCAGTGAACGTGGGCTGTGAGTTTTGCTTGAAGTATGTATGCTTACAAATGGCAAACAAGGCTGTGTGTTCTCTGACATTGCTTTAGGAGAGAACTTTATTTACTTTTAAAATTAAGCTCTAGCCTTGGTTATATTCTAATGTTAACAGTACCGTGCAAACATTGTTCCAGGCTGCAGCTCTTCACATCAGTGTTTGAATATCCAGGAATATTACCAGTATCATGCATAAAAATGAGTGCAGTTTGAATTGGCTTCTCTGGATCTCTGAAGCCTACTGGCTCTGTAGCTGGTATAAATAGCACAGCAAGTTGGGGATTATTGGCTTTAGCCAACTTACACTAGCTAGTAAACATGTTAGGAATGTAATTCACACATCAGTGCTCCTTTATGTGCTTCTCACAGTGTGAAGGGGAGTTATCTGACATGGGCTGAATTTTTTTAAAGGCTCCTATAATTCCAAGGCAGAAACTCAAGTAATATTTATCACTAAATAATGACATGCAAACTAACAGCAGTTCCTGTGTTCTCAAAACTAAGTTTTGTGTGTTTTGAGTAGATGTGCTCAGCTTTCCTGGTGGAGGTGTCTGATGTTCTGCTAAGTGAATTATAGAATTAATTGCTGGTTTAAATTTCAGCCCATGGACAAGTTAATTGGGTTGCTCTTTGGCTATTATGTTAGCTGCATGTTAACAGCAAAGGACAATATACTTCTGAAAGGGCATCATAAATGTCCTACTGGGTAACTAACTGCAGATATGTCTATGGACTGTTAATTAATGCTGCTAAATAATAGGTGTTTTCTTCAGGACTGATCGGACATATCAGAGCTCCTATCTGCTCTTTAGAAAACAAAATTCTAATGGGTGAAAGCCATACTATGAAATATTTGCCAGTGTTCAGCTCTTCCACCAAAACCAGAAAGCTTCAGTTGTCTCATGATTGTTTTTTAACTGAATTTGAATCTGCTCTCCAGCATTTCCTATAAGGAATATATGAATCTTGATAGGGCGAGACTTGGCTTCATGTGACCTTTCCAGGTGCTTTTATTTTAGTATAATTAGTGTTTCAGATGATTATTCCGGCACAAAATAAATTTAGTCTTTCTTTATAAGTTGCCCCAGACTTCAGGGAAGCAATAGGTTAAAAAAAAAAAAAAAAAAAAACCACAAAAAAACACCAACCAAACAAAAAACCCAACAGACTGAAGGCTGTGTGAGCTGGTACAAGTGGTTACTTTTCCCCCACCCCCAGTTCTTTGAGACCTACTAACATCCTTGCAAAGAATGGAGTTTGTTGATGCTGATGAGATGAGGTCTGAGCATAAAGATGTGTATTATAGGCCTTGGCTGCAAACAGAGCGTCTCCTATAGTCATAACTCGAATGTGAGTTTTAATGCTTTTATTCTTGGAACCAGCATTTCCAATTTGTGCATAAATTCAGTATCCCAAGCTGTTGTCAGCCATTATGTGGCCAAGTTATGATTTTAATTGAAACAATTCTAGATTTTTTTTCCCCAATGCCAAAAGTCCCTTGGATCGTAATTCTATAAACACAGTTGAGAATTTTGATTTAGATTCTTCAAAACCTGTCCTTCCAATGAAGTCATGTAGATCAATTCAGGTTCTGCTGTTGCTGGTACCTTCCAGGACTTTGCTTTCAAGTTGCTTTTTGCATGTTGAAGTAGCAGATGATCTGAAGCCATTTGTCTTTAGATGCATGTTAGAATCCCTTCTCTTCAACAAACTTGCATCAACTCCTAAAGAAAGGAATCAGTGTTGATTTTAGAGAACCAGTCTGCCTGACTCACCTTGCTCACTGTGCAGTCAAGTATTCAATTAAGCAGGATTTTCTCATACAGAGTAGATTGTCCATCCACGATGGAAGGAGGAGTAAGCTGATGCAGATAACCAGAATTTATGGAGTTTCATGGAGGGAGGAGGTGGGAAGGAGTCCTGAATTCTCCTGTTAGGGCTGAATGTGAGTCATCGAACCTACAGTGAGGTGCAACTCTAAAGCAATATGGTGTGCTGTTAGAATGTTTAAAAATAGTGTAAAAAGGAAAATTCTCAGATGCTGTTTGAATGTTCCACGTTATCTTTGTTGTGAATCACATTTTCAGTTAAAATAGTAACTGTCAGGGGAGATAATTCTGGTTCTTTACAGCCTTCTGGAAGCTAATTCCTAACAGCAGAAGTTGGTCATGCAGCAGGGTATTTGATACCTTGTGCCCCTTCCTTCAGAAGGGTGCTCGAACATTTTGGGAGGAACTGTGGCACTATGGTGATGGGAGTGGAAAGCCAAATAACCCAGTAATCTTCAGTTTTAATCAGAGGATGCTAGGGTGTCGTAGTGTTGATAGATGCACTTTTCCAAAGCAGAGTTGTGCTGTTACAAACATGTAATTCTCTATGAAATTGTCTTTTTTCAGAGTTCTGAGTATTGGAGATTATAGTTCTTATTTTAAATTCTTTCTTATGTGCAGAAACAGGAAATAGCAAAGGTTTGGTTCCACTGAGTGCTTTGGAATTGCTCAGTACCTTTGGCAGCGTATACTTATTAAAAATGCTTTAATAGATCACTGAAAGAATAACCTATGCATCTCAAGGCTGTGAATTCACTTGTAACGTAACCAGTTGGATGAGAGTGAAATCTTGCATGCTGATAAATATGAAATTTGTGCTGTAGATGGACTTCTGCTCTTCTTATTGATGGTACTTTAAGTAGTGAGTTGGGGAAAACCAGATAATGGAAATTGATTCTTCTCTGCAGGTCTCACTTTCTGCTGGACTTCGGCAGAGCTGATCTGTGAGGATAATCGAGGCTCTTTTGCTCTGAATGCTGTAAGTGATTATTTTCTTTGGTTTTATGGCAATCACTAGGAGCCCATTTGTCCCATGTAGAGAAAAAGGTGAAAGTGCCAGAGCACAAATAAATGGTGAAAATGAAGTCGATGCAGATTAGTTATGACTTACATGTGGTCTGGAAATCGTTCCTGCAAATATTTTATGGTTAGGAACACTCCTCTTTCCCCTCCAGCTGTGCTGACAAAGGCAGTAGCAGAATCCTAATTTCAAATTGCCACTGCAGATACCAAAGTAAACAATGTTTTGGTAGGTTCATCGGGATTACAGATGGATTAGCAATTTGAGTATGGTGCAGGGAATGTGCTGCGTCTGTGTATGTTGTATTTGACTGAGGGTGAACACCTGAAGAACTGGTACAGGGTCTTAGCCAGGAAATTCTTGCTGGGAAGTCAGAGGAGTGGTAAAACTTGAATGGAAAAACAGTGATGTGGGTGATGGTCCTAGCTGTTATTTAGCATAAGTTGTTTGAGTTTTGGGTGATGTGATAACAGAATAGGAGACATTTAAAATGTTTTTGTTCTGAGCTTCTTGCAGTAGCAGAGTTGCTTGCTTTAAATCCTGCAAATGTGGAAGAATGTCTTCTGTAACATCTGGGAAACGGCCCCTGTAGTAGAGGGAATCCAGCAGTTGTCTGGTGCGTTACTGCAGGGAGACTGGAAACAATGTTATGTTTTTGACCTTGTTTCAGCATTGCTTTTGTGTTCTTCAACACAGTTGCTATTCTGGTACCAAAGAAAACATACAAAATTCTCTTCTTACCCCCCATTTTTTCCTCACTGAATCTGTAAGAATTTCCTGACTTGCTGAGCAAAGAGGTTGGAACTAATTACATAGCCAACATCTGCACTGGGCTTGGTTATTAAGAGAATATTTAACATAGATGCTAAACTATTTTCTGACAAGAGAGCCTTGCCTATACACTTCTTCAGGGATGAGGGTAGTCTCTTCGTTTTGGGTTCATTAAAAACATTTCCTTGATCAGTTAGAGTCTTGTTGGAAAGGAAAATAATTTTGCTTTTTAAATATCAAGATGTGGCTCATTAGGCTATTTGTAACCAGCTGCATCGGAGGTTGTGATAGTGTATCACTTCAGTTCCAATGGAGGCACATCACATGGATTGCCATTTTGATGGCTTTGAATGATAATCTGACCCATAAAAACTGAAGCATAATATGCAAGCTGATTTTTCTGGCCTGCCTTATTCTTGATGCCATCTGTGTTGGGATGGAGATGAGCCTGCTCAAAATGTGGCTTGCCAGTTTTAAGCAGAGTGGTAGTGCCAGTCACAGATGGGATTAAAAGAATAGCCTCATGTAAACAAGGAAAGAAGGAAGATGCTCCTGAAAGCAGGAAGTGTCACCTTAAAGCATATTGTGTCTGTTAAATCCTGTGGCCTATGGAACATCTATCAGGCTTTTCTGTGAGTTCTTCATAGGGACAAAGTAACCTCAAGTGTCTTTCTAAAATAAAAAATGAACCCTTAGCTTCCAAATGTTGCTCTTTCACTAGTGTCACCTTCTATCCCTGTCAAGTATATGCAGGGTATCCACGCAACAAAATCAGTTACAGTATATTATTTTGTAAGATTTGTGTTCTTAATTTGTTGTGTGAATCCTGCTGAGGTCATCGCATTTGGTGTGCTAGGCCGCATTTCTGAGTTCTTGTCCTTGTCAATAACAAAGCTCTATCTTGCAGCTGAAGGTGAGTACCTGTCTTTCTGCAGTATCTACACTCAAAACATAAGGTGTTAAGGTCTCAGTTCTCATTGTAATCTACAAGGTCTGTCTTCTGCTCGGTTTGAGAGCCTGAGCTTTGAAGTTTAATGACCTTGCCTTTGATGAAACCACAAGTGTATCTTGGTACTGTTTATAATACAAAAATACATGAAATGATTTTCACTGATTACAAATATAGTCCACAGAAATCTTTTTTTTTATCCTTTCTTAAATAGATTACATTGTTTGAGCTACCATACCATTTTGCAGCAGGGAGGCATGTAAAAGAAGCCACTCATCAATGATGCCATGTTCTTGACGCTTGAACATCCCTCCAGAGCTCTTTCAGTCTTTTATTTCCAAGCTAAATAAGCACCAATTTCAGTGGTATTTTATCTACTCCCTTTAATTACTGCTGTGGAGAGAAAGTTTCTGCCGATGCAAATGTGTTATTTTGTCATGTCACATCACATTGCATCAGCCTTATATTTAGGAACAGAAAGAGGGGGAGGCAGAGACAGGATGTGGCTACAAATTGAACTAAAGGGTTTTCTTCAATGCAGGCTGAAAATAGACAATTGAGGCAGCGATGCTTTTTCAAGCAGAAATCCATGAAAGGGAAAATCAAATCTGTGACGGCAGAAGTGAAAAGCAGGCTGAGGGTGTGAGAAGGAGGAGTTCTAGATGGAGGTGTGGGCTGGTGTCATGGACAAGCAGATGAGCTCGTTTATGCTAACACCCCTTACGCTGCCTGGTTGGTGAGAAGTAGCTTTAGAATGTCAGACCACGTACAGTTATTCTACTTCTGTGCAGGCTAGAAAGTTCTAGCTCTGTTTCTTTTTTTTTGTTGCTGGGCATGCCACCTGCCCTTTCCTTTGTAATTATTTCACCTTCAGAGATAATTTGATAGATGTTCATAGATGCTTATTTTCACCAACCAAAATTTTAGCTAGTGACTTTAATGTAGCTTTTAGTGCTACAGCCAGTGTTTGCCTGCAGAAATTCTGGTGGAAGAATGAAATCCTCCAAATACAATTCTAATACTGGTACAATACTGATATTCCATGTTACGCTGGGCGGAAATTCTTTCATGGCAATACATCGTATTTGTTTGTTTCTGTTAACTAATTCCATTAATAGCTCTCAGTTCACATTTCTTTTATTGTTTTCCCTTCCCAAGGAGCTTTGAATCAGATCCTTGGTAATTATTCTACCTTTGCCTGACCTCTACTGTACTTCTGAAGCTCTGCTGATAGATGAGAAAACTGGGCATGGAATTTTTCAGTCCTGGTCCAGCAACAGCTCGAAATGAAAGCAAGCCTCTTCAGATAGAATAAGTAGAAAAGGTTTATTTGGTCACTGTATGATGGGTATCACACGAGTGTCAGCTGTGCAAGCCATTAACAAAAACGCCAAATTAAAACTAAATTATGATAAATAGAGAAAAATTTACAGTAATTATTCAAGTGAATGTAGTGCTTTTTTCCCAAATATTATTTATGTTCTTGAAGCAAGTAATTCTGGTTCTTCGAAAAATACAGTAGTGTATTTCCCATGGGAAATATCTTTTCTCCTCTCAGATCTAGGCATAAAATGACCTATTACAATCAAATACATAAGTTACACGTGTGATACAGCATGCTTTGAAATGATGAGGCTGATTGGAAGCTGGCAATTAAATTCTGAGAAATTGTCTGTTTGAGAAGCATCAGATCTCTGGGTGTGGATGTGGGCTGGAGGCGTAGTGGTGGCACTTATTTCCCAAATTAGAAAAAATAAATGCATTTCTTACAGCTAAGTGCTTTGATTTTCTTTTTGAAAACAATTGGTGACTTCTAGAGATATTTTTATTCTTGTCACCAAGGATAATAAAAATGCATTAGAAGTGTAGAAGCTTGTTTATTGACGACATTGACAGATGTAAAAACAAAGCAGTGTTTCACACTGAAACTAGACAGGCTGAGGTACCCAGCTCTTCATAACTAAGTATTACCAGTCCTCCCAAACTGTGAGATATCAAAGTGATGCTGTCATATGATCTCTTAATTTTTGAACTCTTTATAACTGGAAACAAACACCCTTGGTGCTACATCCATGTACCCAGTGAAGCCTGATGAAGGCAAGGTTTGCCTTGGGCTTTATGTACAAAACTGGCACATGGGTGCATGGTTGTCTGTGCTCACAGTGGGCAGGTTCACAGCTGGGAAAAGGGGCGCAGTGCTGACTTGCAGTGTGAGGAGGCTGATGGCTTAGGCACAGTTGTGGTGTTTGGTGTTCTGCCATACGTGACTTCTATATTTGGTAAATGCATCTCTGCTCCATGGTGTGTGGCTAGGCCATAGAGGGTCTGGGAATGCTTCTCCCAGTAGAGAAGGGAAGAGGTGAGAGAATCCTTTACGAATTCTAGTTATACTTCAGGAATTTGATGTGAGTGAATGCTTTGTTGTTCACTTTCAGGTCCATGTACTTCCCAGCGCTTAAGACAATCATGTCAAATTTTTCTTCCTCATGATTTTTTTTAAGCTCATGAGAAAATTAAAAATGTCTCAGTAAACTATTTTCTTAGTAAAGAATGCAGTACTGTTGTACTTCTTTCAGAGCAAATCACAGAAATATTAAATAAAGGAACATAGCTGTTTTATAGTTGGCACATTTATTTTGAATTGAGTGAGTCTGGAAAATATTAGATTAAAACTGCAGATCAAATAAAGAGTCTGCAAGCTTTCTCCAGATTGTTCATTAAAAAAAAAAAAAAAAACAAAAAACCAACCCAATTGACAACACTGCATCAAGAAAATGTTCTTAATGTCTTTAGGTAAAGGAAAAGCATTGTGGCTCTCAAATATTATTAAATCTGTATTGTTTATTTTATAGGATGGGAGAAGATGCTTGCGGAGTGCTGTGTCAGATTTATCAGGGCATGTTTTAATTCTAGATCACTTGCTGGATTTTGCAGCTATTTGTCTGGTGTTGGGATAATTGAGAGGGCTGAGTAAAGCCAGATGACTGTAATGAACTTGTTTTGTCTTTTGCTCATTCTGGAAAGAAAAAAAACTATTTATAGGGTATTGTGTATGGTTAGGACTTCTGTTCTTCCTGTTTCTCCAACTTTCTCTGGGCCACTGACTTTGTGCCATCACCAATAATTATATCAAATTAATTCGACATAATGGAGTTAATTATTAGATATGAAGGTTAGCACCGTGACTTCCATCGAACCAAAGCTTTTATCCCCGTTTTACTGAGGCTTCATGAAATGT